ATCTGCGGCACGGCGGTCGCCAAGGACGCGTCGGACATCATCCTCATGGACGACAACTTTCGGTCCATCGTGAGCGCGGTCAAGTGGGGCCGCAACGTGTACGACTCGATCGCCAAGTTCCTCCAGTTCCAGCTCACGGTCAACATTGTGGCCATCTCGACGGCCGTGATTGGCGCGGTCGTGTTGGAGGAGTCGTCTCTCACGGCGATCCAGTTGCTGTGGGTCAACTTGATCATGGACACGTTTGCGTCGCTGGCGCTGGCCACGGACACGCCGACGGAGGCCATGCTCAAGCGCAAGCCGTACCCGCGGACAAAGCCCCTCATCTCGGAGCGCATGATGAAGCACATGGTTGGGCAGTCCATCTTTCAGCTGGCCGTGATTCTCACCATGACCTTTGCGGGAGACAAGATCTTCGGCATCGAGTCTGGCCGCAAGTACGACCGTCCCGCCGGCGCGACGGGGCCGACCGTGCACTACACGATGATCTTCAACACGTTTGTGTTCTTGCAGCTCTTCAACGAGATCAACGCCCGCCGCATCCACGACGAGCTGAACGTGTTTGAAGGGATCTTGACCAACCACATCTACCTCGGCATCTCCGTGCTGCAGTTGGTGCTGCAGGTGCTCATCGTCCAGTTCGGGTCGCTCGTGTTCAGCTGCACGCCGTTGACGGGGTCCCAGTGGGCGATCTGCGTCGCGATCGGGGCCGTGTCGTTGCCGGTCGGGCTCGTCCTTCGATGCATCCGTCTCCCAGCGTCGTTCACGATGTGCCAGGAAACCACCGTGGTCGAAAAGGTTGCCAGTCCTCGCACCAAGGCGTTGTGGCGCCGCAGTTTGAAGCGCCTCCAAGTCCAGATCCGTGTCATCAAGGCGTTCCAGACGTCGCTGGCGTCGACAAAGGCGCTGCTAAACTAGACCGTGCTGCATCTAATCTATCGTTTTATTGCGACGCAAAGGTCTGTCTTGTCATGATATCTAAACGAGGTCGACGAAGGCGATAGGAAGTGCGCCGGCCGGACCGATGCACGGCGGCCCTTAGCAAACCCACCGCTGAACCTCCGAAATATGTCGAATACGTGGGGTACACCGTCATGGACACAGAGACAGCGCATGGCTTTCCCTCTTGTCCACGGCAAAACAAATGCAGACAAAGCAGGCGTAGTACAAATTACGATGCAAAGGCAGACGTGGACGCCATGCACCAACGTTTGGTTATTGCAGTGGCCGGCGAATGTCTTGCCCGAGTCCTCTCTGGAACGCTTTGACCACGCGAACTTGTGCACGAAGTCGGCGCAATCCCCGCATCCAGAGCTCTCTGCCGCGAGTCGACGTGTCCTGGGCTTCGTTTGCCTTGCCTTTGAACGCCGAATTGAGCGGTTTGTACGCTGTCAGCCGGAGAAGGAGGCCCACGGGCAGCGACAGCGACCCCAACCCAACACAAATGAAAAACTGCTCGGTCGTGAGCATGGCACACCCGAACGCGCGACCACCCAATTGACAGATCAGCGCTTGAGCCCCCACTTGAAAGATGGAAATCCCAATAAACAACGTATTGCCCCAAATGTTGGTGAAGATGTTGACTTCATCATGGATTTTCCGCGAGTTGAGCTCGTTGAAGAGCTGGAGAAACACAAACGTGTTGAAAACAATCGTGTAGTGCTGGGACGGAGGGCTGCGCTCGCCCGAGTCGACCTGTTGGGCCGACCGACGGCCCGACTTGATGCCGAAGAACGCATCGCCTTGAAACACGAGCAACAGAATCAGCACGAGCTGAAACACGCTTTGGCCTAGAATGTGTTTGAGCATCTTCTTGGACAAGAGCGCTTTCGTGCGTGGGTACGGCTTGCGATGCAGCAACGAGTCGGTCGGTGGATCTGTCGCCAGCGCCAGCGACGCAAACGTGTCCATGATCAAGTTGACCCACAGCAACTGGATCGCCGTCAATGGAGACTCGTTCAAAGCAATCGCGCCGACCACGGCCGTCGTGATAGCCACGATGTTGACCGTGAGCTGGAACTGGAGGAACTTGGCGATCGAGTCGTACACGTTGCGGCCCCACTTGACCGCGCTCACGATGGACCGAAAGTTGTCGTCCATGAGGATGATGTCCGACGCGTCCTTGGCGACCGCCGTGCCGCAGATTCCCATCGCGAACCCGACGTCCGCCTTCTTGAGCGCCGGCGCGTCGTTCGTGCCGTCCCCCGTCACGGCCACCACCTGCGGGCCGTGCGGGTACACGTTGGACTGGATCAAGCCAGACACGAGCGTGTACTTGTCCTTGGGACTGGACCGGGCCAGCACGCGGAGCATGGGCCAGATCTTGTCAAACTCGTCCTGCTTGATGTTTCCGTTCGCGTCCAGCACCCGCGCGCGGAACACGGACCCTTCCATCACGAGCGACCCGTCGTTCGGACGGATGATGCCGCACTTGAGCGCAATGGACCTCGCCGTCGCGATGTTGTCGCCAGTCACCATGCGCACGACAATGCCTGCTTCGTTGCACTGGCGAATCGACTCGGGCACTTCTTCGCGCACGGGGTCTTCAATCCCGACGATGCAGATATACGTGAGGTCCCTTTCAACGTCTTCATCGGGCCACGTCTTGACTTGATCGGGCGATGCGTCCACGTCGCGGAACGCCAGGCACAGCGTGCGGTACGCCTGCGACGCGTACTTGTCGATGATGTTGGCGTTGACGGCGTTGCGCTCGGCGGCGGAGAACGCGGCCGTGGACCCGTCCAAGTGGAGCTGCGACGTGCACAGCTCCAACACGATCTCACTCGCACCCTTGGTGAAGATGCGGCATCGCGTCGCGGACAGCGGCACGACCACCGACATGCGCTTCTTGGCGCTGCTGAACGTGAGCATGTGGCAGATCGACGCCGCCTTGCGCACGTCGGCGTACGACACGCCCAAGTCGGCGGCGAACTGGAGCAACGCGCACTCGGTCTTGTTGCCCGTGTGCTCGGGCTGAGCCCCGACCTGCTTGGGCGGCAGGATCTCGGCCGTCGAGTTGATGCTGATCGAACTACACAGAATGTCCTTGGTGGCGGCGCTGGCCTGGAGGCGGAGCGACGGCGCCGACTGGAACTCGTGTTGGCCGAGGTAGCACTCCATGACGGTCATGCGGTTCGTGGTGAGGGTGCCTGTTTTGTCCGAGCAAATGGTCGTGGCGCTGCCCATCGTCTCGCACGCGTCCAGGTGGCGCACCAGGTTGTTGTCCTTGAGCATCTTCTTGAC